AAGGATAATGTTTCAAGTATATTTGACGAAGTTGCCAAGGTGAAATATGTCATTTAGCAATCCAAATAAATAGAAACATTATATTTTGAATCCATTTGTAATTTTTAAAATATAAACTATGAATAATATCATGTTCTAATTCAAGTAGCAAAGATATGACCAATGTCATTAAAATAATAGTCGACATTGCTGAAAGGTAGTTGGATACATACCGATATGAAAATAAGAACATTAATAATAATGAACTTGTGAATATTAGTGTACATATCCAATCTTGATGATATAAAAAAAAGGACATTCTTGTCTTATGATGGCATCACTTTGTTTGATTGTCCGAGTAATCTGACGACCAGATAATACAGCATGAGGGTTACAAGTATCAACAGGAAAGTTGACTGTCATTTTTAAAATGCTTTCGTTTCTTCTTGTGTTTTAACCGAAAATCACAGGCTAAGAGTAACAATAAAATATTAGATATCATATTAGGTTTTCTAATATATTTTTAGTAGTGTCTCTGTCGTCATTCTTCAAAATGATAACACTATAATAAGTCATATTACATCTTTTCCTGAATAAAATCATTGCAAAAGTTATACAAATCAAGTTTTCCTGTAGCCTAAAAATTAATTATCATTGCAAGTGTTCTACGGAATACTTTCATTTCTCTACAATCAGAAGTATAAGTCAAGTTGAAAATTTCGAAATAGAATAAGTCTTTAACTGATAAGAAATGCCTACTTATTTCAATATCGAATAAATTATAATTTCAAAGACTCTTGCTCACTTTACTCTTTAACTATAGTTTTCTAAAGACTATCTCTACCCCAAGCTGTCGGTACTAATTCAATAGCTTTTGTTTATTAATGATTTAGAAAAGAACAGAAAGAGAACAGACTAACTTTTTTCGTGTGATTTGTCGACTTTCAATCACTCAATGGATTCTATATAAAGGATTTGTCATATTTCTTAACCCTTATATATATATGTCACTAGAAAAGCTAACGAAAGTTTTGTTCTGATTGACAATGAACTATACTATTATGTATTTGTTTAGATTTTCATTTATTGAAGCACATTGTACAATAAACTTGCTTATTTATCTGACAGTTTGTTTGATTCTTTTGTGTATATATTGCATGATTTTCATATTCAGATTTCTTCAGAGAACAAAACAATGCATAAGTCATGTATCGTATTTGATCCATACTGCTTTTCTTCTTTCATTTTATTGTTCAAAACTTTTTCTAGATGTAAACAGTAAATGTTAGTGAAAAAAGGTTTCAGCAAGGGTCTGTGAATAAACTCTAACAATAATCGATTCAACCGATTTGAAACTTATGTTTCTGTAAATTAAAAGGCTGTTTATTAGATGAGTTCACAATTTTTTCACATATTACAGTTAGGCTAATCGAAGAACTGTCGGCTAAATATAGCTTAGGGTGTGGGTAGGTTCCAATCAAGTGAATAACAAAGAAATGGTCATTAAAACGGATAATGATTCATTAATGAATAATTTTGACCATTTCACAATTACGGACTCTGTTTTCTCAGAGTTTCACCGTGATTTTTAAAATACTTATAACTTCAAAAAGTTATATGGATCATTAATATTTGCTTATCGAACGTTGTTTTTTTTTTGCAAAATAGTCAAAAACATTCTCTTAAACTTCACCACTGCATTGTCTATTGAGGTACGCCAGTCTGACGAAATTATACTTAATAATAGCTGAAAAGCTGTTTTTTTGTGTGATATTGTTAGTCGTTTTGCAATCCTTGACTCTAAAAACATCTTTTTCTTTATAATAGTGCTGAATTTGTAAGATTTTCAATAAATAGTAAAAGTCTATAATAGACAGCATCATCATCTTTGTTCAAAAGAAGATAGACCTCGGTCTTTTTGAAATAAATCGTATATTTCAGGCGACTAGGATAACCTTGTTTCTTCTTTCTCAAAATAAACGATTTTAATCCGAAGATGATAAAACAGCACAAAGAACTATTTGAAACAACAGAGCAAAATGATTTGAGAAGTCTAATTTCTTATATATCAGAGGAAAAAATTACTCGTATGGTTATTTTTGTTTGCTCGGCTAAAGTAATCGCATAAATCGAAATAGACAGATATCATTTTATATGATGAAATTTTCATGAAAAACCAGAATGAATAATTTACTTCACGTTAATCTAACAATCTATAAAAATTATACAAAGCTTGTTTTTTAAAATGACAGTAAAAAATACTCTCGAATTTTGTGATGCAACTGATAATAACAAGTACTCAGGAATATTTATATAAACTTATTGATCTATTTGACCTTGTTTTTGCAGAAGGTTTCATTTATTCAACAAATATATCTAGTTCTTTCTCCAAATGTGTTGGTACGCTAGTCAATCGCTTAAATATTTTATACTTACTGTAACTGTGTTTTCTATAATAATATAATGCACATCTTTGTATAGATCGCTAATTGACGCATCAAGTCCGACTATAGTATATCACTCTCTTCTGCGATTCTACTCCCTTAAAAAAAAATCTTTGTACTGATCATAACATTCATGTTCCATTGTCTCCTCCATCTTTGCAGAATTATACATAGTCTAATACATTGCGAAGAGAAGGCGAATCATCAAACATGTATGGAAACATTGCGGACTTAGTGAGGTTAAACATGTATTTGGTGATTATTCATTAAATATTTAAATATATATCAAATAAAATTCTAGTTTAATCTATTTAGTTTCTTGCATGATTCTCATTATTTCCATTGACATTCATATTGTTTTTATGAAGAACAATACTTAAGAGTAAGAAATCGAGAGAAAGATATGCATGTGTACTTACTACTGGTAGTGTATTCAGATATAATACGTAAGTAACGCATATGTGTCTACGTTCACATCTAACTTAGTGCAAGTAATCCTATTTTGAATGGTTAAATCAATGTAACAACTCAGATCACTTCGAACTACTCTAATTTGTTATTATATTTCATCAGACATCATTGAAGATACCGATTGAATCAGAAAAAAATATTTTGAGTGATGAATAAGAAACTCGAATTTGTAGTCTGTTTCATTAATTTTTGTAAAGAAGAAGAAACAGATAGTGGGAATACAGAACAAGTATTCTTGTAAGGCGATCAGAATTTTTTTTATTTAAATTATGTATTTTACCATATAAACATCTAATAACATTATATCGGTTCGATTTGTTTAATATTATTTATTCATCTCACTACTATTCTATTCGATATGCTCCATTATATTTCATTGGGCCAATATGTTCTTTGTCTCAAAGTACAGAACAATGCTATTATATAACTATAAAAGGAAGAAAAGAAACGAGATCAGTTCATTTTAAAAATTGACGCGTCAGTTATAGTATATCATTGTGTTCAAATCCAACATATGATGCTTTTAGATAGCACTAACTAAGAAATTTACCGTTCCATTTATAATATTTGAGACTTCTCTGAATCTTTCTTCGGCGCAAGATGTTTATTTTGACTCTCTAGATTATCCACAAAATGTGTTAGGATAATCGATCCTCACTCTTATCTTCTGTATTTTACTCGACAAGATAAATGACACACAATCTCTTGTTATTCAAGTAAAATAACATTTAGACGAAATATCTATGACCAACATATTAATATACACTCAGTAATGACACATGCTATGTATGAAATAAAGATGTGATCTAGTTCTCAATGTTTTTCTCATTTAAAGTGAAAAAAATAGGAATTTGTGTTTTTAAATCGCTTCCTAGAATATTTTCTCTATTCGTCTTCCACAATAATACCATATTATAGTTAGTGTTAAAGTGATTTTTTTTGTGAGAATAATCCAGATTCTTACAGAGAAAGAATGATATAAACAAGTAGCCGAAAAGATCACAAATAATAAATTTCAAATAGTTAAATACTACTAAATAAATTTATTTCAATTCTAATTATTTAATTGACACGTCTTTCATCAAAGATGATCTTTTCAATGTTTCATAAAAATTGTACAAATAAGATAATCATGGAATCAAAACGAAAAAATAAAAATAAAAATAGAACAGACTATACATTTCTTTTACTCTAGCTTCATAGTGGTACAGAAACTAAGATCCTTCTGTAGTTTACTCACATCCTTACACTGATTAGTACATTGAATGCAGCAATCACCATTAGGGTGAAGGTGAGATTAAATTGGAGTAGTACCGAAATGTATAGTCGATTCTATTTTTATTCTTTTTCGTTTTGATTGCATGATTAATTTATATGTACAATTTTTACAAAATATTGAAAAGATCATCCTTGAAGAAAGACGTGTCATCTAAATAAATAAATTTGTTAAACAGTATTTAACTATTTCAAATTTATCGATAATTTTCCTATCAACAAAACAAATCAGAAATAATAGGAGAAAATGATTTGCGTTGGTAAGATTATTTTATTATCTTCTTTAACCATTTTCATGCGTCATATGTAAAGCATTTTAATACCATTTTATCCCTTGCCTGGATTCCTTACTTTTACAATAACTCCTATTGATTGATATAGGCTATCATAGTCTATGCATTGTGCCATTCACGGATTAACTAAGATCATATGTGAATGACGTAACAATATTAGTTGAATTAGCAAATTTTGTGTCTAATAAAAATGTACATAATGATAAATTTATATTCATCGAATAGATACTGCAGACAATCCAGAAAACTTACAAAGTTATAATCTGACCGTAACGTAAAACTAAATCCATCAATTTATGTTAAATGAATATAAACTGAGGAAAGTTAAAATCAATGATAAAAAAAACATGATTCATTTCGATAACGTTCTTGCAAAATGATTCATATTATATGAATTTCTTTTCTTTCTTGCGTATTCTGTACATTCATGTTGGAAAAAATGACGTATTATGCACAGTACACGTTCAGTCCTTTTTCAAACTTATACATCAATAAGCTATTCATTATTATAGATTTTATAAACTGTCTGATTTTTTTCATGAAACAAATCAAAAGACGACGAAATAATATCATTCATGATAATAACGATAACAAACGGAAAAGGATTGACGGTAAAAAATGATATCTGGTTATTTTTTTAATGAACATATTTTTTATTTTTTAGTAACAGCAAACGAAACAAACTGGTTTGTTTATTACAAAACTATTTCTTTGTTTTATGAAATCTCTCTCTCACTCTTCTTTTTCAGTTTAATAAAAGAAAATCTTACTACTCTTGAAAATCTTTCAAATGAACTTATTTATGAAATATTTGAATTTCTCAATAATCATCATGCATTTCAAGCTTTTTATGATCTTAATCAACGATTTCAAGATCTTTTTCTTAAATCAAATCTTCCAATTAAAATCAATATTTCATCCATATCAAAATCTAAATTTCAGCATTATTTAACACATATTATTAAACCTTATGCTTATCGAATTGAATTATTTCGATTATCGAATCCATTTATTGATCTAAATTTATTACTACTGCCAATAATGAAAAATTTAACTCAACTTACAACACTTATTTTAAATAATATTGAATCGAATTATATTGAACAAATTATAAATCATTTATCTTCTTTACCTGTTTTATCTTCATTAATTATTATATCGATTAATACTATTAAAAATCATAAGAATATTTATTATAAAGTATTTCGTTTACCTATACTGAAATATTGTCAGATATTAATTGAATTATTACAATGTCCAAAATCATTACCTGTTGCTACAAATGAATTTAGTACTATTGAACATCTCATCATTAATCATGATATTTCGATTGATCAACTTCCTATTTTATTATCTTATGTTCCACAACTACGTCGTTTATCTATTAGTAATCTAAAGGAATCTAAACTCAATCGAACTGAAAGAGGTTCGATAAACTAAAATTATTTAACAAATGTTTCACTTAAATTACATAATGTCAATTTTAATGATTTTGAAATCTTAGTAACAAATTATTTTCGTCAAATTCAAGTTTTAACTATTGCAATACAATATGTTGGATTTTATGGTAATAGTACACAATATTTAAATGCTGATCGATGGGAACAATTAATTTCAACTTATATGTTAAATCTACTTGTCTTTGATTTTCAACTTTCATATCGTAGACTGAATTCCAACGATGAACGTCAAACATTTGAAACCATGGAGTGGCAAATCTCAAACTGTTACCAGTTTTAAAAACTGAGTGTCAAAATTTTCAAAATTTCAAACTGTCAAAATTTTCAAATTTTCCAAGTACGACTAAATTTGAAAAAGACTGAGATATCAGATATCAGATATTTATTGACACTATATATTTTTGTAATAGCTTCAGCAATCAGATATCAGATATTTACTTTTGCATGAAAGTTTTCAGTTTCAATCCATAATTATCTATCTATATGTATGAAAATTCAGCAGATAACCAGATATCAGGTATTTACTTTTGTATGAAAGTTTTCAGTTTCAATTCATAATAAAGTAAATCAACTCATTTGAGTCCATGAGAAATCCCAGTGATATTATCACTGGAATTTCGGTTCCACTCCAGTACATGACATATTTCAGTAATATTATCACCGAAAATCAAGACACAAATGTTCGAACTTCGTAGATAGATAGTTTGATAGATATAGAGATATATAGTTAGATAGATAGATATATAGCTAGATAGATAAATAAATATGTAGAGACACACAAGGCACCTGTCTCGCTGAGGGTGCTACAGCAACCGACACACAGCATATATCTCTCACTGAGGGTGCACGAAAACACGGACAGATTAGGAAACACACACAACACATCTCTCTCACTGAGGGTGCACGAAAACACAGACAGATTCGAAAACACACACCACATCTTTCTCACTGGGGATGCACGAAAACACGGACAGATTCGAAAACACACACAGCACATCTTTCGCACTGAGGGTGCACGAAAATACGGACACGTTCGAAAAAACACACAGCACATCTCTCTCACTGAGGGCACCCTGGAAACCGACGCACTATCCATCTATCTATCTACCTATCTATCTATCTACCTATCTAGCTATCTATCTACCTACCTAGCTATCTATGTACCTATCTATCTATCTACCTATCTATCTACCTATCTATCTATCTACCTACCTACCTACCTATCTATCTACTATCGATCTATCTATATATGTATCTGGGAGTAGAAGCGAAATTCGGCTGCCAGACGTTTCGTCGCGATCATTCCGAACATCCGTCTTTGTCATGGGATGTTCGGAATTGACGTTTTAGTCCTACAACTGATGTTCGAAAAAAAATCTAACGGATGTTCGTAAGATAGAAAATGAATGTTCGGAATGAATTATATCACGTGGCAGAGTTCCAAAAGGTAGATGTTCGTAAAAGAAACTATCGGACGTTCGAGACAAAACAAATAGTATTCAAACGGACATAGATAAGAGTAGGGGTGGCACAATGCTATTACTTTTTATTACCATTACTCAGTAATTAATAATAATTGTGATCACTTTTATTATTTATTACTTATAATCAATAATTGCTTTGTTCTAATCATTTTAGTGATACTAGCGCTTTTATTATTTCTTTTTATTGAAATGCAAAGATTGTGTTCTGTGGCTTTGTCACTAAGTACTTTTATTACTTTCTATTCTCTTTTATAACCAAACAAAGGTCTTTCATATCACGTTCTATCTACATGATATGTTAATATTACTAGATAGTGATATGATGGAAAGATTATGTTAGATTTATCGAATATCATCGTCGGTATTTATCAAACATATAGGGTGAAAACTCGAAAAAAATAACAATATCGGTCACTTTGGTGAACAGTCAGCGCAAAATGCGAGTTTGCCTTTCGCCAATAGATAGCTGATTATTTACTCGACGATCATATACATAGGTCAGTTTGCTCCTTGTTTCGGCAGCAGAGTGGTATACAAATTTGTGTCATCTAGCACTATATAACTTGCTTTTAATGCATAACTTCACTCATTTCATCACAACTCAGACGTCTATGTATTCAGTTTATCACAATTTCTCATTTTGAGATCTTCACTTGTCTTTCAAGGTAAGCACTATGCTAAGCCTTGAATTTTTTCTCAGTCTTTACTAAAATGCCGTACGTTCTTCGACCATGTAAAAGTTCTGTCTCGACTACATCTACTCACTCTACTTCTTTAAAACAAAATGTGCCATTTACTATTCCGGACACTCGTGTAAAAATTTTCTGAACGTCCATCCATTGCTGTTCTAGACATCCGTTAAAGATTTTACGAACATTCGTTGAAAATTTCAACGAGCATCCGTTGTTTTTTCGATGGTCATTCCGAACATCCGCATTTTTCTAATTACGAATAATCGATGCTTTTATCATAAAAATGATGACTTTTTGAGGAAAACAGATGTTCGGAACGGACTACGATATTGGATTTTCGGAATGAAAAATCGCGACGAAACGTCAAAACGCCGCGTAATTCCGGTGATAATATCACTGGAATTTGTCATGGAATCGAATGAGTTGATTTACTTTGTTATGAATTGAAACTGAAAACTTTCATACAAAAGCAAATATCTGATATCTGGTTATCTGCTGAATTTTCATACATATAGATACATGATTATGTATTGGAACTGAAAACTTTCATACAACAGCAAATATCTGATATCTGGTTATCTGGTGAATTTTCATACATATAGATAGATGATTATGTATTGAAACTGAAAACTTTCATACAAAAGTAAATATCTGATATCTGGTTATCTGGTGAGTTTTCATACATATAGATAGATAAATGTGTTGATTTACTTTATTATGCATTGAAACTGAAAACTTTCATGCAAAAGTAAATATCTGATATCTGGTTATCTGGTGAATTTTCATACATATAGATAGATAAATGTGTTGATTTACTTTATTATGCATTGAAACTGAAAACTTTCATACAAAAGTAAATATCTGATATATGATGTACGATGATAGTTTTCGGCTTATCAGAAACTGGATAACTTATTTTTACAATTGTAGCACATATTATGTCATTCAACCAAAACTGGTAACAGTTTGAGATTTGCCACGCCCTCTTTGAAACTCTTATCAATAAATTTAATTCAACATTTTGGATAGAATATCAATGGTTCTTTGATCATCATTATCATCAGATAACATGGTCGAATGCTGCTGTCTTCTATTCAAGAAATCCATATAGGTAAAAATAAGAAAAATTTATGTATTAAACTATATTTTCTCATCTATTTCTTTTTAGAAGAAAAGATTATGTATTATATGATGAACTGGTCGAAAATATATGGTCATCTCGTTTTGATATTAATGAAGACTCAATTCATCATATTTGTATTCATAGTACAAATATGATAAAAAAATCCATTGATCATTTTCCAAATGCTACTAAACTTACATTTTGTAAAACATTTGAAGTACCTCGTGATTTAATTATCATTGATTTGATTCGTCTTCTTCCATTGAAACAATTGACTAAACTAACTATTGAATGTCATTATTTTTCTTTTGAACAATTAATTGAACTTTTACAATTTACACCTAATGTTCATGTATTAAAACTTGAGTCTATATTACTTTATCGAACTGATTCTGTTTCAATTCAACAAAATGAATTATCAAAATTGGTATCTAATATGAATACTATAACAAAGGTAACAATTAGTAAAGAAATTACGTTAGAAAAAATTCAATTACTTACTACTGTTTTTCCTCGAATGGAATATCTTACTATTAATTTATATAAACAAGATTTACAACCAATAGCTCAATTTTTATTATCAAAATCTAATAATAATACTCGTTATTTATCCTCATTATGTATTTCAAAGCAACGTAATGATCTGATGACAATATTGAAAACTTTGATTAAATCAAAAAAACTTCTTCGTGATTATACGCTCAAAGTTATTAATCGAAAATTGTATTTATGGTGGTAGAATTAATTTGTTAAACAGATATCTTGATTTTGAATATAGTTTATTTTTTGAATAAATATGAAAATTAATTGCTAATACACGTTTCTAGGTAGACTAGTAGAAAAATGAAGATATTTGTGATAGAACGAAAAATCTGTTTATTATATCGAATAACATTCACAAATGATAAAATAGATGTCATAGAGTAACTGTAATTGAGGATTAGTAAACTATGATCATCTTATCTATTCTAATTGAAGAGGATGAACGAAAATTAAGAATTTTCATATTAGTACATGCTTATAATTCGAACAACAAAAATGAATTTTTATTAATTTCATGTATTTATATAAAAGTTGGCAAAGTATATCGTGCGAATAAGTGTCCTGTTTATTACCACTATCCCATTCGATTCTGACGTACATGGTTAATATGATGTTGTATAGTGACTAACATAATTCTTTGAAGTAGCGGTGAATAGGACATTTTAAATACGATTCTTTTTTGTCATTCGACGCACAACTTTGTGTATTAAATAACTATAATCATACGAAACTATATGTTTATAAACTTTAAGAGACAATAATAGAAGTTCGAACAGTATCTTCCAGATCAGATCATTGCAACAAATTCATTCAAAGGAAATATATTTCTTCATAAATTCGATCAAATGGGATTATCTGCTTAGGAGAGAACGTTTTCAACTGTCTAATCAATTTTTTGGATTTGGACTCTATGCATAAGCTAGATCTTGATGAGATATGAAAAACTCCAAATGGATAGGTGCCCTTAGGCCTTTTGTTCAGAGTTATAGTCATTTTACTGAGATTTTAGCCTATGGCATGGTATATACAAAAAAAATCGAATGGCCATATTTCGATCTGAGTTTTTACTCACAGACAGATCTATTTGTGAATAGGATGCCATGAAAATTTCAGCTCAAAAGAATACTTCCTTCCCGACATATAGTAGTCAAAACAAAGCTGCTAGTGCAATCTCTGCGAGATTAAAATGTGAAACACGATATACCTATTATGTAAATCCGAGTATAATACTTCGTCATTATTTCTTACTTTTTGCCATAGAACTTCAACAAGTACATATTTCAGAGATATTTTAACTAGACTTAGGTTATACATGACTTCTGATAGTACCATGTAGAGGGTGTGGGTGTGTGGAAGTGTGTTTCTAATTATACCCACACCCACCCTGGAGGGTGTAGAATTGAATGTGAGCGTTGGTATAGAGGTAGGAGTCGGTGTCAGTATCGACATGCATATGGGTGTGAGTGCGGGATCAGTGGGGTGTCACTACGGATACCACGTCAAGCACAATCCACACCCGATAAACAGCACATCCACACCCACCCAAGATAGCCTGTATATCTTCACTGTATCTGGAATACACAGAACCAGCTTTTCCTCCTTGCTATCCGAAGATATAAATATTTTTTTCATAATTTTCTCGACTTTGTCAACAAAAAGAAAGACGAAATTTTCCTCTTTCATGGAAGACACAACTATTCTTCTTTTTCATCACTGAATGGTCATTATAAGAGCTATGGATTAGTAATAACCGAAAAGTTTTCTTTCTAATGAAAGAAGAAAATTTTATGTTTTCTCGTTGCTGATCTCAAGAAAAATATAGAAGGAATATCTAAGTGAAAGGATACTTTTTTTGACTATCTATAGATGCCTAGGATTATTAGCGTGAAAGTTTCTCTGTCAATTGGCAATGACTCACGTCTGTGCAATAGCGATCCTCTTCTTGTCAACCTTAGTTGCCTCCACCATTGGTGCAGAAACCTGCTATTGGACAAAATGTGGTTCATTTAATGAGGCATCATGTGCCGCAGGCGATATCGAGAAAAACAAGTGGGACAAATGTTGTGATGTGAGGATCATTCGCAATCAGAAGCGACATTTTTGCTTTTATCCAAAACGATGTGCTTATCGTTCAGAATGTATTCCGGTTGCATGTACAAGCTGTCCTGAATGTCCACCTGGTCAGCACAAGTACCCGAATGATTTTGGAACGGGGCCGCAAGAGTGTACGATAAATGTCAGTGGCTTTGAATTCAAAGGGAAAAGAATTGGTGTTGCAATCCCTAATAACAAATTGAATATTAACACCTCTGACTAAACTATCTTTTTCTATTCACATAGTTTATTCAGCATTATTTCTGTTGTTCACTCCGTTCGTGCTTTTCAGAAGTATTTTTTCGTAGGTTACTGGGAATTCTACGTAATAATGTAACGAGGTCAATAAAAATGTCCTAAAGAGTTTTCTCATCAATGTGCGTCACCGAAGGTTTCTGATCTTTTGCCACATATATGTCAATCCTGAAAGTTGACTTAACATATGACATATCAGAATGATTAAATAGTTGAATAGTTGCAAAACACTTCAATAACTGAATTCAACTTTCAGATTTGACATCAATAGTAGTTTCCTGGAAATTTCCTTGAGGTGTGGGTGTGGATGTTAAAAGGACAAAGTCAATACTGGCACCCACCTTCACCCACACCCACACCCTCTTTTTCGATTTATGACGTACTTCATTCTGTATTTCAATATACAGGCCTTTTCGACATGTCTATTACGATTTGTGAGGCAGACGAGGATGGGAGTGGTATCAGTTTTCTCACTCTATACTTTAAAAACAACTTTGCCTACCAACCACATCCAGCAGAAAGGCGTGCATCAACCTGTATGAAGAATTTCTGAAGAGAAATCTGCTGTTCACAGCGAATCACTACAATGTCGAGCATTCGATGGCTGAAATATATTACTTTACTATAGGATTGAATGCAAACTAGTCTGCAGATGCACTCGATCTGCTATTGAGTAGAGAACAAACAAAATGTGAAATTGAATTTTCTTTCAAAAAAAAAGAGAGTAAGCAGTAAGAAGCACTTGTACGAGTACATTTATATTTGACATCTTGTCAACAAAAAAGATGTGTACACTTGCCTATAAAGAAAGACAAAAGGCGTCCATTTCTTGCAATACCTTTGACAATTTGATTGCAATAATGACAGATCGAATACTAGAAGAAACGCAATTAAGCGATCGTCGCTCTGCAGTCGTTAATCGACCTGAGTTAACAGCAAGTTTTCCGTCTCGTCCACCGGTATCTGTGCTGAGTGTAACGAGATTAACACGTATCCATCGTCATCGATCGCTCGAAAATAAAGTGAGCTCTTGATGATTTGTTAATGCAATCTTTCCTTCACATCCATTCTAGCATAATCAATCATCGACAACAAACGGACGACCCATCATGGTCATTAATGCCAGAATCCGGTCACCAAGAAGAGCTCATCTTATAAACAACCAATCTGTCAATTCCAACGACAATGTGGTTTCGGTCAGATTTGTTCGAGATTGAACCTTGTTTGATTTTTTTTCTTTTCAAACAGCTCTCAAAATCAAAGAAACTATCCGCCACTCAAAGTTTGGCCGATCGATCAAAAAGACCAACGCATTCTGTCATTGTCACTCCTATTCGTCGACGTCATCGATCACTATCGCACGTAAGGAAGAGAATATGTTATTCGTAGCGCAAGTTCTCTTGGTTTTCGTGATAGCCTCGTCGATGTTTATCGGAGAACAATGATTTGAACAAAAACTCGTCACCCAGAAATAGTTTTTCATCAACAAGTACAAGAAACAAAATGACTCAGAAGCGAACATACACATTTGGGTCTATGTCATTACGCAAAATAAACTCGTCCAAAGTCACTCCCAATGAGGTTAGGTCTAATCTCCTCATACATTCAAACATGACAACATTCTTTTCATAGGAATTGTACACAACTAATCGTAGTGGTATCAAAGTAAGAGAATTTTGGTTATTCTTCTGTGCACGTTTTTTGGTTTTTACAGGCAAAAGATGTTTCTTCATGGTCGGATCTAAAAGAACTGACACAAGATCATCGTCGAAACCAAAATCAAAAGAAAAAGAATAAGTGAATTGCTTTTCCAAATTGTTGTACACAAATTCATATTTTTCGTAGATTCTGTGGTCGATATTCACGCCGATGCGTATTCATATTTCTATTTATCGCTGTTCTTGTCGTCATTGCGATTATTGCAATTCTACTCGCCATTTTAATAAGACCGAAAACAGCGACAAAAACAACAAGTAAGAACTCATTCCTTTTGCTTCTATTTTATTTTTCTGTTGCAATAACAATTGGAATAGTTAATTAGAAATTTTGGCAGAAAAACGAAGTGAAAGATTCATTGCTTGAGAATGAAAGTATTTTTCGGATATTGAACACATATGGCTATTCTTTTGAAATTATAGAACACTATTTTTGTGTAGTAGTTGGTACACCTTTGCTCCGATGGAATCCACTCGGTATCACTATAGCCGGCACGGTAGGTATACCAGGTGCGACTGCCAATCAGTTGAACACTCCTGTTGGCTTATTCGTGGATCCATTCAATACACTCTATGTTGCCGATTGGCTTAACCACCGCGTTCAAGCATGGAGGATGGGTGCGTCGAACGGTTCGACTGTAGCAGGACGAGCAAATGGAACAGGAGGCATGTCTTTGTCTGAACTGCAAAATCCTGGCGATGTTGCTCTCGACTCAAACAATAACATTTATGTTACTGATGTATCGAACCAAAGAGTTCAGTTCTGGACTAACGGTGCATCTTCGGGTATCACAGTTGCTGGCATTACAGGTAAGAAATCTTGAAATTTATGCCAACTAGCATCGAAAATTGATATATCTTTCAAAATTCCATGGCGAAGAACATAAAAGAGAGTTGTGATCTGTAACATGAAATATCTTTATCAGATTTTTTCAGCAACATTTCTACATAAAACCTGAGAATATCTATGAGCCTGTTTAAAGGTTCTGCCGGCTTTGCAAATAATCAACTTAACATGGCCTATAGTCTTACGCTGGATCCAAACTCCGGTGCAGTGTACATATCGGATACGGGAAATAATCGAGTAATGTTTTATCCATCAGGCGCCTCTTCGGGTACGATAGTGGCAGGC